GGCTGCTTTTGTCGACGCCGCCAAGGAGCAAGGCCTCCCAGAGAAGAGCTCTTCCAATGACCAGCGGAAAGCCAGGGACGAGCTTCTACAGAGCTGCCATGGTGGGCCACTGGGTCCTTTGATCCAAGAAGCAGAGGTCACCACCGATGATGGTGCCAAAGTCACCATGTATTTTGCCAACCTTTTGGTCTACTTGGCCAGCCTTTTCCAGATGGGTGGAAGCTTCCATGATCTGGTCCAAAGGAAGCACCGAGCCAACCCATCATCGGTCTCCAAGCCATGGCAACTTATTATTTATTCGGACGAGGTGATTCCTGGAAACGTGTTAGGACCAGCCCAACGAAAGTTGTGGGCGATCTATGCCAGTTTCCAAGAGATGGACCAGTTCCTCCACCACGAAGACCTCTGGCTCACCATCTCCCTGGAAAGGTCCAGCTTCGTCAGCCAGGTCCAAGGCGGCGTTGGCCAGATCATGTCCAAGATCTTGGAAGCCATCTTCGCCATGCCCACGTGGAACCACAGGCAGGGTTTTTATTGAAAAGTCCATGTGGCCCAGGTTCCGATGTTCGACTGCATTTTCGGTGGGCCATTTGTCTTGCAGACGGTGCTGCCCACAAGCAGATTTGGTCCAGCAAGGGGGACGCAGGCACAAAATTCTGCATCCTTTGTGCCAACATCCACTCAGGACAACCCACCACTGGCGACGACGAGGACACCATGGACCATCGCACCACCAAGTACAGCCAGTTGGTCTTGACCACTGACGAAGACGTCGTCCAGTCCTTCCACAGATTAAACGAAAGGCGAGCCACGTGCAGGACCAAAGCTGAATTCTCGCAGTGGCAACAAGCCACCGGCTGGACCTGGAATGCCCATGCCTTGCTCCTCAACCAGACTTTGTTGGCCAAGAACCAGGTGAAGCCAGTCAACCAATTCTGCCATGACTGGATGCACGGCATTCTGCAAGGAACGGCCCCGGTCGTGCTGTTCCACACCTTCCATGCCATCTCTGAGCACTACAACATTTGGGAGGCCATGGGCCCATACATGGCCATGTGGAACTTTCCAGGTGCTACCAAAGCCGGTCACTTGGCCGGTTTGTTTGACGCCAGCAAGGTCGCCAAGTACAAGAGCAGCCACAAGTTCAGTTGCCAGGCTTCCGACCTGCTAGGCATTTATCCAGTCGTTCGCCATTTTTTGCATTCTGTACTTGTGCCAAGCGGAACCTGCCCAAAGCCCTGCCAAGCTTTCCTCAGCCAGGCCTGCTTGTTAGACCAGGTTCACCAAGGGGTCATGTATGGGGCCACCACCAGGGCCAGCCTTCTGGAGGCTGCGGAAGAGTCCATCCAGAGCTTCCAGCAGGCCAACTTCGACGTGGGATTGATGAGGAAGTGGCATTGGCTCTTGCATCTTCCAGATTTTCTCCACCGGCATGGCTGCCTGCTCTCCACTTTTACCAGCGAACGGAAACATAAAACAATTTCGGCTTTCGCCACCAGGCTCCAGAAGACCACTGCCTTCGAGATCCACTTGATGAAGCAAGTGCTCGCCATGGAGATCACCACGTTGACAGAGCCCGGGCGGTTTCCAGACTCCTGCCAGTTGGTGAAGCCAAAGAAGCCCAACAAGCAGCAGCTGCAATTCCTCAACCAGTTTGTGGATTGCTCCGCGAGCGAAGCCAAGGTTGCTTCCGTCGCGAGGCTCGCAAGGGGTGGTGCCATCCATGCCCAGGACGTCGTGGTTTTCCGCCAGGACAACGGAAGATGGGACCTGGGCCAGGTGCTTTTCCATTTGGAGCTCGGAGACGACAAAGCCACACTCGTCCAACGTTGGAGGCCAACAGAGACACAGAAGACAAAGCAGTTCGCCAAGTGCTCCATCACCAACGAGCAAGGCTTCGTGACCATGGACTCCATCCTGTACCCACTGGTGTACAGCAAGACCTCGGAGAGCGAGGCCACTGTGCTGCTACAATACCAGCTGTACCACAGGCTTTGAAAAAAACAATGCTTCTGAATCCGCCACATGGCATTTCCACACGCAGATGACATGTTGCAGCCCTATCATGGCTATGCACGACAGCCTGCCCATGCAGGCCATGGACACGTATTTTTCCTTTACATACGTTTGAAAAGGTATGTTATATATATATATATGTTATTACTCAAACCACTGTTAGACTCCACTGATTTTCTTCTCTTGTATCAGACTCCGTAGCCTAAACAATGCCTTTAAACTATAGGAACTACAAGGGAACTTACCTCTACATTTGATGTCTATAACTTAAGCTAACTCCACCTAACTTTTTAGCTAACTAACATAACTATGTTAACTAGTTATAAAAAAGCCAGGATTCCAAGTACTTCTGCGGTATTATGCGGTGTGGTATTGCTCTTATTGCGGCGTGTGCGGTTGGTTGCGGTTCGGCCCCTCCCACAGGCCCCTCCCACCCAAGCCCCTCCCCCACCCCTCCCCCACCCCTTTTTCCCCTTCCCCCCTCCCACCAAGACCTCCCACCTAAGCCCTCCCCACTCCCACCTAGCCCCCCTGCCCCCTCTTCCCCCCTAAGACCTGCCCACCTAAAACCTCCCACCTAAGACCTCCCACCTAAGACCTCCCACCTCACCTTCGACCTCCACCCAAGCCCTCCCCTTCCTCCCACCTAAGGGCCCTCCCCACTCCCACCTAGCCCCCCCTCCCCCCTCCTCCCCACCTAAAACCTCCCACCTAAGACCTCCCACCAAAGACCTCCCACCGAGACGTCCCACCTTCGACCTCCCACCCAAGCCCTCCCTTCCTCCCACCTAAGGGCCCTCCCCACTCCCACCTAACCCCCCCTCCCCCCTCCTCCCCACTTAAGACCTCCCACCTACACCTCCCACCCAAGACCTCCCGACCTCCCACCTAAAACCTCCCACCCAAGACCTCCCACCTAAGACCTCCCACCTAAACCCCCCCTTCGCCCTCCCACCAAAGACCTTCCACCGAACTCCCACCTAAGACCTCCCACCAAACACCCCCCCAAGACCTTTCACCTAAAACCTCCCACCTAAGACCTACCCCTCTTGTACACCCTCCCCTCGCCACACCCCTCCCCCACTCCCACCTGGCCCCCCTCCCTCCCACCCAAAACCTCCCACTACGACCTCCCACCCAAGATCCCACCTGCCTAAGCTCCTAAACCCTTCCTTGCCCTCCAGCCGCTGTCCGCCCAGGCCTTCCCAACCCCCCCCCCCCCTCCCCTTTCCTTTCCCACAAAGGCTGGTGGGGCAGGGTGGGAAGGGCCCACCAGCCTAGGTGGGAGTGGGGGTTGGGGAAGGGTGGGGGTGCAGGTGGGAGGTTTGGGGAGGGGTGGGGTTAGGTGGGTGGGAGCAGGGGTTGGTAGGTGGGAGTGGAGGGGGGGTTAGGTGGGAGGGGGATAGGTGGGAGTTGGTTGGTTGGGAGGGGGGGTAGGTGGGAGTTGGTTGGTGGGAGGGGGCAGGGGGGCTGGGTGGGAGTGGGAGTTGGTGGGTGGGAGGGGTAGGTGAGCGGGTAGGTGGGAGGGGTGGGAGTGGGAGGGAGGGGGGTAGCTGGGTGGGAGGGGGGGGTAGTTGGTGGGAGGAGAGGGGCGGGTTAGGTGGGAGGGGGTGGGAGTTGGTGGGGGGGGGGTTAGGTGGGAGTGGAGGGGTCAGTTGGTGGGGGTGGGGGAGGGGGGGGGGTAGGGCTTGGTGGGAGGGTTGAGGGGGGGTGGGGTGGGAGGACGGGGTGGCGGGTAGGGGGGGTAGGAGGGGGTTGTGGGGAGGGGGGTAGGTGGGGGTTGGGAGCGGTTAGATGGGAGTTGGGTGGTAGGTGGGAAGTTAGGTGGGAGGGGGTTGGGCGGGAGTTTGGAGGGGGGTGTGGGTCGGTGGGGGTAGGTGGGAGGGGGCGGGAGTGGTGGGAGGTTTGGGGGGAGGGGTGGGGGTGGGGGCGTGCGCAGCGATGCCGCGGTGCGGCGCGGCGTGTGTGCGATACTACCGGTTCGGTATGCGGTGCGTTGCGGTTTGCGATATTTGTATTGTTGAAACAGCCCTGTTCAGGGGTGCAAGGGTTCCAGAGGGGTTTAGGGTTCGGGGATTCAGGGGTTCAGGGGGTTCTGGGTTTAGGGTTCAGGGGCGTTTAATAGGGGGTTCGGGAAGTTCAGGGTTTTATGGTATAGGGCTGTGCGGGGTTTGGAGTGAGCGTACGTTTCTTGGCTCTCTTGACCAGCAAGGTCTAGCGGAATCCAAGAAAGCCAAGAAGAAGAGGAAGCAGCTTGCAAAGATATGGGCCGACGTCGATGAGATGACCGGGGGTTCCCTCATGAACATGTTGTACCCTAAACCCTACTTAAACCCTACGGACTAAACCCTAAACCCTAAACCCTAAACCCTAAACCCTAAACCCTAAACCCTAAACCCTAAACCCTAAGCCCTAAGCCCTAAGCCCTAAACCCTAAACCCTAAACCCTCAACCCTCAACCCTAAACCCAAATGCGGGATTCACATGAGCTCCAAGAGGTGGAGGCCGATGTCGGCATGGAAGCTGGGTGGGAAGAAAGACGGCTGGTACTGCGACGTGCACGTGGATTTTTGCCAGCAGAAGCACCCGGAGAAAGCCCAGGAGCTGAACCGGAGATACCGCTGAGGGTTTAGGGTTTAGGGTTTAGGGTATAGGGCTACAGATCCCGACCTGCGGTACATTGAAGACCACTTGATGGCTGATATCGTCCTTTCGCACACGGCGACGCTTCGAAACATCAACCCTTGACCCGACTCCCAACACCCCGCGCCCTAACTTGAGCTGTTCAGCCGGCAAGCTCTACACCCTAAGCCCCCATCCCCACTCACCCGTAGTACTAGTAGTAGTATAGCGGTGGCAGGGTGATAGATCTGAACCCTAAACCCTAACCCCCAAAGCCCTAAACCCCAAACCCTAAACCCCTAACCCTAAACCCTAAACCCTAAACCCTGAACCCCCCGAAGCCCTACTCCCTCGCTTTGGAGGCCCTGGCGCTCCGACTCCCTGAGCTGCTTCCAAAGGCTGACCTGCACTCGCCAGGGGAGCCCAGTGGGGTTTAGGTTTTAGGGTTTAGGTTTAGGGTTTAGGGTTAGGGTTTAGGGTTTAGGGTTTAGGGTTTAGGGTTTAGGGTTTAGGGTTTAGGGTTTAGGGTTTAGGGTTTAGGGTTTAGGGTTTAGGGTTTGGGGTTTGGGGTTTAGGGTTTCGGGCCGCAGGTCAGGTTGGGTGGTAAGATCCATGCGTGGTGCGGGGTTTAGGGAAGGCTCTCGGGCCCCCAAACCCCCCAGCAATCGAGACTCCAGGAGGTACCAGCCGCTCTGTAGGAGGTTCCTTGCCTGAGGGAGGATCCCTAAACCCTAAACCCTAAACCCTAAACCCTAAACCCTAAACCCTAAACCCTAAACCCTAAACCCTAAACCCTAAACCCTAAACCCTAAACCCTAAACCCTAAACCCTAAATGCAAGGCTCACCTTGATCTTGAACGCATTCGCGCAAATGCAGTTCGTGCAGAAGGACGCTTTGGACCTCCTGAGCCAGGACCGAGCCTCAGGGGGCCCCAGGTCCACGCAGTGGAGTTTAGGGTTTAGGGTTTAGGGTTTAGAGTTTAGGGTTTAGGGTTTAGGGTTTAGGGTGTAGGGTTTAGGGTTTAGGGTTTAGGGTTGAAGGGTTTAAGGTTTAGGGTTTAAGGGTTTAAGGGTTTAAGGGTTTAAGGGTTTAAGGGTTTAAGGGTTTAAGGGTTTAAGGGTTTAAGGGTTTAAGGGTTTAAGGTTTAAGGGTTAAGGGTTAAGGGCTAACTTTAGGGGTTTTGGGCAGTGCCCGTCTTGATCCAATTAGTTTTTTCTTGTTGGTTTGAGGGGTACCTCCAAGGGCTTATGTCGGGGGTTAGGGCTTGGGGGTTTAGCCCGAAACCCTAAACCCTAAACTATTTTCGGTTTAGGGCTTGGGGTTCAGCATCTCAAGTCCGAGCATCCACTAGTCAAGCTCGCTACTCTGGCATCGAATATCTAGCCACCTACCCCTTGGATCAAATAACATCAGGAAAATAATAACATCAGGAAAATGTTTTCGTTTTACTTCACTGATGTACTCACAAGAGCGCAATTGCTCTTAAATCTCCCGCCTCAAGTTCTGTCGCTTTAGCCCACTTCAGCAAAGTTAAAGCGAGGAGAGGGGGCGGAGGGCGAACAAATGCATCATGCTGGAAGCTTCTCAATATGGGCTGTTTCGGGGGGGCCCCGGGACGTGCTGTCCGGGAATCCCCCCGCGACATTTGTTCTGGGGCGTCCTGGGGCGTGCTGGAGCGTCCCAGGGCCCCCCCAGGACCAACGTCTCCTTAAGTAGGCCCGAAAACCCGAACAGGCCCTTAACCCTAAACCCTAAACCCTAAACCCTAAACCCTTAAACCCTTAAACCCTTAAACCCTTAAACCCTTAAACCCTTAAACCCTTAAACCCTTAAACCCTTAAACCCTTAAACCCTTAAACCCTTAAACCCTAAAACCCTAAAGCCCCAGACCCCAGAGGCCCCAAACCCTAAAGCCCAAGGCCGAATAGCCCTGTCCCTTGCCCACGAAGGTTTGTGCCTATGCCCACGACCCAGTATTGTCTAAATATGTAGGGTAAGAGAAGTGTAGGGTTTTTAGGATTTACAGGGTTTAGGGTTTAGGGTTTAGGGTTCAGGATTCAGGGTTCAGGGTTCAGGGTTCAGGGTTTAGGGTTTAGGGTTCGTGCCAGGAGCTGCTCCTCAATGAGGAGCGCTTCCAGAGGGCCTCGGGGCGCCAGCTGGCCATGACCCTCAACGCTGTGGCCAGGCACTCTCAGGGTTTAGGATTTAGGGTTTAGGGTTTAGGGTTTAGGGTTTGGGGTTTGGGGTTTGGGGTTTGGGGTTTGGGGTTTGGGGTTTGGGGTTTGGGGTTTGGGTTTGGGGTTTGGGGTTGGGGTTTGGGGTTTGGGGTTTGGGGTTTGGGGTTTGGGGTTTAGGGGTTTGGGGTTTGGGGTTTCGGGTTTCGGGTATGGGGTTTGGGGTTTGGGTTTGGGTTTGGGGTTTGGGGTTTGGGGTTTGGGGCTTGGGGCTTGGGGCTTGGGGTTTGGGGTTTGGGGTTTGGGGTTTGGGGCTTGGGGTTTGGGGTTTGGGGTTTGGGGTTTGGGCTTTGGGGCTTTGGGGTTTGGGGTTTGGGGTTTGGGGTTTGGGGTTTGGGGGCGCACGGCATAGTTGGGAAACCTTGTGGGTTTCGGGATGAGGTTCAGGGTTCAGGGTTTAGCTGTGGGAAGGGCTTAGGGTTTAGAGTCCCTGAGACCCCAGCCCACAGAAATCTTATCCCCAAATGCCTCCCAAGCCCCCCAAACCTTAAACCCTAGCACCCCCCTAAACCCTAAACCCTAAACCCTAAACCCTAAACCCTAAACCCTAAACCCTAAACCCTAAACCCTAAATTCCCACCCGGCCTGCTTAGGCCGTACCCACCCTTTTCTAGGGTGCCTGGACCCAGAATTATACCCGGCAGCGAGATACACCTTTACTGGATGGACAATGGGTGGTGACATTGGAGAGTGGTCGAATACAGCCCCTAGGGCTGAGCCTTGCTTTAGGACCACTTACGTGGTGCCTTATATTTACAAGGGAACCCAGGATCCTCCTCTTGATGAGAATACCCTAAAGCCCGCGCCGGCATCCTTCGGAGGACATTTGCCTGGGGGGGTACCCCCCCAGAGCCCAAAAAGGTTTTTTGGGTCGTCTCTGGTCTGGCCCTCCCTGGCCCCCCCTGGCCCGCCCCTGGGACCCCCTGGCCGCCCCCTGGCCGCCCTGGCCGCCCTGGCCCCCCCGACCCTCCCTGCCCCCTTTCCTGGATCCTGCTCTGGTCCCCCCGCTCTGGCCCCCCCTTTCTGGCCCCCCCCCCTGGCCCCCCTGGCCTCTGTGCCCCCGTGCCCCCCCCCCCGGCCCTTCCCCGGCTTCGTCCTTTGTCTGCACAAAAAAGTTTGGTTTCATCGAGATTTGAATCGTTTTCATGGTGGGAATTGAGGGCGACAGCCCTAAATCGAAGGGCCCGCCACACATTCGTCAATTTTCTCCAAGTGACGTGGCTTTCTCAATTTTTTGAGCAGGCGCGCAAATCTGAGAAGGCTCGCGAAATCCAGCGAATGCGCGGAAGAGCACGCGAAAGACTAGTGGAGGAGGAGATCCGCTCCGCCACACATTCGTCCATTTTCTCCAAGTGACGTGGCCTTCTCAATTTTTTGAGCGGGCGCGCAAATCTGAGGAGGCTCGCGAAATCCAGCGAATGCGCGGAGGGACCTCTGACTAAACCCTAAAAGGTAGTGGTTTGGGTGGTGGCCTGTGAAAGCTCACAGCGGGTGGGGAGAAAGAACCCAGCACCAATGAAATTGTTGGATTACGTTGAAAACAGATGCCTTCGCGTGACATGCCGCCCCCCCACACCCCCTGGGTGTGTAGGGGCGCCATTTACACATGGTACTTACTGCCGCTGCGCGGCGAGACACCCTAAACCCTAAACCCTAAACCCTAAACCCTAAACCCTAAACCCTAAACCCTAAACCCTAAACCCTAAACCCTAAACCCTAAACCCTAAACCCTAAACCCTAAACCAAGCCCCCAACCGCAGGAACGCCAGCAGGCTCCCCAACCCCCAACATCTTCACCCTTTTCGCTCGCTTTCTTCAATATTCAGTAGGATCCTTGTTCTGGGGTTGGCCAAGCTGGGTGAACCAAACCCAACCCTGAACCCTCAACCCCTAAAACCCTCACCCCCTAAAACCGAAAAACCCTAAAACCCTAAACCCTAAAACCCTAAAACGCCAAAACCCTGAAACCCTAAAACCCTAAACCCCCAAACCCAAACCCAAACCCCAAGAAATGCCCTAAGGCCTAAGACTTGGGCTTAGGGTTTCGGACCTGTAAGGTTTAGGGCTTGTAGGGTTTATAGGGTTTGTATGAGTTAGCCGTAAACCCTAAAGCCTGACAAAACCCTATAAGCCCTATAAAATCTGCAAACCCTTTGAAGCCTGTAAACCCTGCAGACCCCAAAGCCTAAATCCTGTAAACCCTGAATCCTATAAACCGTCAAAACCTTAAGGATTCAACCCTAAACCCTAAACCCGAAACCCTAAACCCAAAACTCTAAACCCTAAACCCTAAACCCCAAACCCTAAACCCTAAACCCTAAACCCTAAACCCTAAACCCTAAAAGGCTCCAACTCCTGGAGCCCCGACTCCTGGAGTCACTCTCTTCCTGCGTCCGGACGCGCACCCAGGCGCGTGGTGGTTCGGTGTTTAGGGTTTAGGGTTTAGGGTTTAGGGTTTAGGGTTTAGGGTTTAGGGTTTAGGGTTTAGGGTTTAGGGTTAGGGTAGGGTTAGGGTTTAGGGTTTAGGGTTTTTAGGGTTTAGGGTTTAGGGTTTAGGGTTTAGGGTTTAGGGTTTAGGGTTTAGGGTTTAGGGTTTAGGGTTTAGGGTTTAGGGTTTAGGGTTTAGGGTTTAGGGTTTAGGGTTTAGGGTTTAGGGTTTAGGGTTTAGGTTTTAAAGCTTAGAGTTTAGAGTTTAGGGTTTAGGGTTTAGGGTTTGCTGTTCAGGGTTTTGGTTTTAGGGTTTAGGTTGAGGGTTTTGGGGTTTCGGGGTTTAGGGTTTCGGGCGTTGGGGTGTAGAGTTTTGTGGGAGCTTGTTTCTTCCCAGGGTCTGAATGGAGGGGTTTCTTTTCCTTCGGCGTTTTGGTTCATAGGCTCATGGGGCTCCAAAGATTGAGATGTGTGGGCTTTCGGGAGTCTGCGGTTCGAGGTTTTGGGTTCATGCTTCCCTTCGACTGCCCTAAGCCTGAATCCTGACACCTTAAACTATTCCAAAAGCCAAACCAGGGTCCCTTCCTTCTTGTTGGGACGGCCTTCGGTTTTCTTGAAAACCACAATTGAGCCAAAGAGGCGTTCTCTTGCCCTGAACCCTAAGCCCCTAAACCCTGAACCTTAAACCCTGAACCCTAAACCCTAAACCCTAGACCCTCAGCCCATTGTGCCTCCCATCATGCAATGCCTGGCACCCTGAAAAAAAAGCTTCCCCTTGACCCGATGTGAATGAACCTTGCATCACCCCCCCCCCCCCCCCCCCTCTAAGCCCCAAAAGCCTAAACCCTAAAGCCTAAACCTCATAGGGTTTAGGGTTTAGGGTTTAGGGCCTAGGGTTTAGGGTTTAGGGTTTAGGGTTTAGGGTTTAGGGTTTAGGGTTGAAGCTGCCCCAAGCAGGACTTCGACCCCCAATCCTTCTGCGTGGTGGCCAACGCCGCAGCCAAGCTCCAGCCACGACCTCGACGTCCCAGGGCTCTGCTCTAGCTTAGTAGCTGTTTAGGGTTTAGGGTTTAGGGTTTAGGGTTTAGGGTTTAGGGTTTAGGGTTTAGGGTACACTTTACACTTTTTTGGGATACTATAATCCCCTATAGAACTGAAAGTGTGCACTTTTTAAGGGGCTCATGAACTCAGCAACTAAGCTAGGCTTCGGTTGCAGTCACTTCGTGCTCACTACTTAGGAGCACTTCGAAGGTTGCATTGGCTGAGAGGAACTTCTGTTTTCTCGCTTTGGATCTTCAAGAGTTTTGTGAGCTTATCTCAGCTTAGCTCATCTCGGTGATCGCCTGGAGGTATGCCGACTTCATCCAATCTCATTTTGCGCGATTCACTACAGCTGCACTTCAACAGAGTTGAAGCCACTTCGTTCAACTGCGCTGTTTCAAGGGACCCAAAACCCTGAACCCTGAACCCTAAACCCTAAACCCTAAACCCTAAACCCTAAACCCTAAACCCTAAACCACCAAGATAGAGCACTCTCGTGCAGCCTGAGCCTGAACTTCAGACCCACACTTTCATGCGTGGCTCAAGTTTCTGGGAGAGATAGCAACTTCGTGCTTCGGGGTTGCCCTCTCTTTGCGTATATACATATATAAGGTTGAGGGTTTAGGGTTTAGGGTTTAGGGTTTAGGGTTTAGGGTTTAGAGTTTAGGGTTTAGGGTTTAGGGTAGCTTGTATCTCGCGGGGGGCGGGCTGAGGGCTCGAGGTTTAGGGGCGTGGGGATTGGCAGGCTGCCTTCCTTTGTGGCTTTGAGCGTTGATTTGCCATAGCGAGCTCTGACCCTACAGGTCTTACCAAAAACTCCCCCACCCCACCCCCCACCCCCTCCCCGCAACCTTGAAATCTCCCACGACCACCCCTCGGGCTCAGGGTTTGAGCTGGGGTTGATTAGGGCTTAGTGCTTCGGGCTTTTGTTCCTTGGGCTAGGGTCGCTGAGCAAGGGGATCTTGGCACCTCTTTAAGGCAAGGGATTTCGGCACCTGCGACCGCTCTTTTTGAGGTTAGGCGTGGAGACGTTCCAGGCGGGCGGAGGGCCGAGGGTTTAGGATTCGGGTTTGGGGGGGGGGGGGGGGGGCAGCATAAGACCGCACGGACTCGTACTTCAAGTTTCGGGCTTAGGTTTAGGGTTCAGTGTGCAGGGTTTAGGGTTTAGGGCTTAGGGCTTAGGGCTTTGGGTTTATTGGCGCTGAGGCCCCGGTGGTGAACTCGCGGAGATGGTTGGCCCATGGGTAGGTGGTAGTGGGATGGTGGAGTTTCCGAACATTTAGGGTTTAGGGTTTAGGGTTTAGGGTTTTAGGGGGGTGGGTCCTTCTTATGAGATTCTAGCAAATTTGTTCCAGCAGATTTCGGGGCTAGAAAGGGACGGGGGGGGAACCTAATGTCTGGAATTCGGCTTTGCCCTACTTCTGACCACAGCAAACCCCCAAGGTAAGAACTACCCTCGCACCTTCAATGCTTCAACACCACTGTAGCCATGATGGCCCCTACACCCCTGAACTCTTTTCCGACACCCTGCCAAACTCCCAAAGAAGTCCATACCCCCAAAAAACGAGAACTAGACCCTAAACCCCACATCCCAAACCCTAAACTCTAACCCCTAAACCCTAAACTCTAACCCCTAAACCCTAAACCCCGAAACCCTAAACCCCTAAACCCCTAAACCCGAAACCTTGCAGGTACTGTATGCGCGGCTCCCGCGGCTTCTGGCCCGGCTCTCTGGAAGACAGCTCGCCCCAGCCTCAGAGGTTTGAAGTTTAGGCTTGGGGTTTGGGGTTTAGGGTTTAGGGTTTAGGGTTTAGGGGTTTAGGGGTTTAGGGGTTTAGGGGTTTAGGGGTTTAGGGTTTTAGGGGTTTAGGGGTTTTAGTGGTTTTAGGGGTTTAGGGGTTTAGGGGTTTAGGGGTTTAGGGGTTTAGGGGTTTAGGGGTTTAGGGGTTTAGGGGTTTAGGGGTTTAGGGGTTTAGAGTTGAGGGTGGAGGTTTTAGGGCTGGGTTCAGGGTGAGAGTTTGTTCGCCTGCTCTGACCTCGAATTCGTGAACTTTATGGGTGCCTTATCTGCGACTGGCGATTGGGAGATGACAGAGAGGCGCCGGACATGGTTGGGTACCCCAACTGACCGACATACAAACCCTATACAGCCTATACACCCTAAAACCCAATAAACCCTGCCGTATTGACCTGCTGCAAAACCTTAACCCTAAACCCTAAACCCAAAACCCAAAACCCTAAACCCTCAACAACCGTAGGCTTTCTGCAGCCCCCTGAGGCGATGATCTGCCATGCCTGGGGCAAGGCAGGGCAACGTTTAGGGTTTAGGGTTTAGGGTTTAGGGTTTAGGGGTTTAGGGGTTTAGGGGTTTAGGGGTTTAGGGTTTAGGGCTAGTTAGTTAGGCTTAAGGACAGCAAAGTGGCTGCTCGCAAAAGGTGAAGCCTGTGAGCCCTATGGCCCGGAACCCGACTCCCTGCATAGCTGAACCCTAAAACTAGGGCTTAGGGCTTAGGGCTTAGGTCTCAGGGCTGAGGGTACTAGGAACGCAAACAGTTAAGGAGACTGTGGACTCTCAAGGGGCAGCAGCTGAAAAGAGGGCAGCCGTAGGCATGCACTCGGATACAGCGCATCGAAATGGAACGAGCAAGTTTGGGATCCCAGATCCAGGGGTTGACTTCCATCTGCAGCCTTATTGGGTGCAGGGTCTTGTGGCATAGGCCGTTATAGCTCATCTATGCTGATCGGGTGCTTTGCTCGTTTTCTTTGGGGTCTTTTGAGTGTGCAGAAGGTGCTTCTGAGTGACGAACAGTACCCAGGCTAGCAGAAGACACAGCAACGGATTAGAGACATGAGACGACTTGTGTGCAAGTCTTGTAGTTCCGAAGTTTTGTCAACCCCTTTAACTGCCTCAACGCCCCACCCAGATTAGGCCCAAAATGCCCAAAGCCCTAAGCCTTTATCACTTGTTCGGATGTGAGGTTCAGGATGGGTCGTTCGGGCTTCAGTAGGTTCTGGCTGTAGAGTTTGGGGCCTTACGGTGTCAGGCTTTGGTTCTTAGGGTTTGTGCTGGGTTTGGGGATTTCAGAGTTTAGGTTTCTTCCTGGAAGCAAGAGCAGCTAGGTCTTTTCAAGGGCACTCAGCTGCTTGCTCTGGCGGAGGCACACATCCACAACGACGATCTGTTTGAGCTCCTCATGCTGCCCCTCATCCATCAGGCTTCTACCAGCACCTGTCTCCCAAACCCGAAGCCGAAAACGTACACCCGAAGTTTCTGGAGCATTGAATCCCTGGGCGTCCTCGGACACAGTACCATGACCAGACCACCTCACAGCTACCCCAACCGTCAGATACAGCGGTATGTTTTATGAGAACGGTTAAGGTGAATAAGTTATTCAAGGAGGTGTGCTACAAACTTTATAAACCCTAAACCCTAAACCCTCCTTCAACGGCCAGGCGGGCAAGCTCACTGCGCACGAGGCTCATCTGAGTTTCGGGCCTTCTTCTTTGGGTGTCAAAGCTTGCCCAACCCCTAAGATATGGGCTCTATGACTATCAAATGAGGATAGGGTGCTCTTGCAAAAGGTGAGGCAACCAGCAACTCTCTGATGACTCCTGTCATCCTATACTTGGAGGTTCATGGTACTCATTAATCAATTTAAACTGCTCTTAAAACTGTACTTATAACCATCTTAGGGCACTTAAGGGGTTTATAAGTGGGTTATAAGTACCGTTCTACTAAGCACCGTGAACCTCCAAGTAGCCCTAAACCCTACATCTGGGAAGGTGGCTATCACCATCTACGGCTATGCGCCTCTTGGAATCAATACGTTGGGCTCATAGGGGTTGAGCCTTCAGTAGGGCTTGATGCTTCGGGTCTAGTGCTTCAGGCTTGGGGTGAGATGAGCATCTCACTATGCGCCGCTGTTCAATGTTGAGGGCGGAACGCGGTGAAAGTTCACGGAGGGAAGTCTAAATAGGGTGTCAGGGTTTAGAGTTCAAGGAAGCAGTATCCGCATTTGGGGTGTAGGTTTTCTTTCCAGCGCGTTTGCTGCGAACAACACTCTGCTGACGCAATTTCAAGTTGTCCAGCCCTGGTTCCCCGAACACAACCACAAAGCTTAACATCTCGTACACAACATATCCGACATAACCATGTCAGGGAATACAGAACCAATGAACAACGGGGTTCCAACATGAATCTCCCCAACTCAATGCTTCAAACGACAAAACACAAAGTGAGAGCAGAAGAAGTTAAGATCCACGATTCCAGTTGGCATACGACTTCACTCAGACGCAGAGATGTACTTGAGCTTTGTTGTGTTTCTTGAACAGCCACCTTGGCCTTTTGGTGGTGCTGCCTGTGCCGAGGCAAAGGGATCGTGAAGTTACACACAATGTTCATGGGTTTCCCCACTACCCCCCCCCCCGCCCTTCTATCCCCCCTAGGCTCCCCCTTTTGAAATAACCTGTTATCCCTAAACCATTTGTAGCCTTAATTTAGGGGGTGACCTAGGAGGGGTGGCATTGAGGGGGGTAGTAGGGGAACCGCCCATGAAATCTTCTTGTTCTATTCATGCCAGGCTTGCAAGGAATTAAAAACCTAGGGCTTGGGATGCCCCCGCTGATACTAACAGTCCTTAACGGGGATTGTAGAACGCCCTACTTTAATCCCAATTAAGGACTGTTAGTAGAAGGGGGAACCTCCCAACCTCGGGCCCATATTTATGGGATTTCCGGGTTTTGCTCAGATTCGCTCCTTCTTCTCTTGGCCTTCTGAGTGCCACGCTGCTGCCAGGCCTAAACCCTAAATCCTAAACCCTAAACCCTAAACCCTAAACCCTAAACCCTCAGGCACTTCAGGAAGTCACCGCCAGAGCTCTTCAAGCCTCTGCTGCCCGCGCTGCACTGGGGCTTTCTTGCGTTCAGGACTCGAGGGTTAGGGTTTAGGGTTTAGGGTTTAGGGTTTAGGGTTTAGGGTTTAGGGTTTAGGGTTTAGGGTTTAGGGTTTAGGGTTTAGGGTTGCAGGGCTCTACCTGTAACCTCCAGTAAGAGAAATCTGCCCAATGACCCAGGCCGTTCTATTTTTGAGGTATATAACATGTATCGACTGTATTTAGGGCTCCAGACCGCTTGGGCTTGTGTGGATGCTTTTTTTTGTCTGAGAGTGTCCTGCGTGCAACGGAGCGAAAGTGCCCACAAACCTTATGCCCAAAACTTTGCTCGTTAGGCTTCAGGGCTTCGGACTCTGCATGCCAAGTCCAAACACAAATGGAGCAGAGTGGCAGCCCAATGTGGTGATTCCTGCTGTTGCTGTTGTTCTGCACCACAAGCCCAAAACCCTAAACCCTTAAGCCTAAACTCTAAACCCTAAACCCTGAACCCTGAACCCTAAACCCTGAACCCTGAACCCCGAACCCTAAACCCTAAGCCGGAGCCACATGTGAACTAGACCCGCAAGTCTCAACCGTGGGCCACCACAAGCTCATCAAGATCCGACAAACTCCCTGTGCCAAGGTTTTAGTGTTTAGGGTTTAGGGTTTAGGGTTAAGGGGTAAGGGGTTAGGGGTTAGGGTTGAAAAAGGCTGACTGGCTCATAGAGCAGACGCAGTAAGCCCGTGTCATAAGCTCCTGCACAGCGAGCCCGACTAGGCTTGACCGATTCGGGGCGCTGCTTCTGGAGGAGGCCGGTGCGAGCATTTGAGGGTCAAGGGTGGCTAGGGTTTGGGTTTTTTTAGGGTTATGTTTAGGGTTTAAGGGCTTTAGGGTTTTGAGTGTTTTTAGGGTTTTTAGGGTTTTTTAGGGTTTTTAGGATTTTTAGGGTTGTAGGGTTTTAGGGTTTTGAGGTTTTAGGGTTTTAGGGTTTTAGGGTTTTAGTGTTTTTGGGTTTTAGGGTTTTAGGGTTTTAGGGTTTCAGGGTTTTAGGGTTTTAGGGTTTTAGGGTTTTAGGGCTTTAGGGTTTTAGGGTTTTAGGGTTTTAGGGTTTTAGGGTTTTAGGGTTTTAGGGTTTTAGGGTTTTAGGGCAATCGCTGAGCACTTCAAGACACAAAGGCCGAATCAAGATGAAGTGCTGTCAGTTGCGGGAAGATTGATGTGGGTTGTGCAAAAAATCTGAGGCATCGGTGCCGAATGCCTGTTCACAGGTTAATGGCGGCCTAGACCTTGAACCCTAGCCCTAAACCCTAAACAGGCTTAAGGACTTAGGAAGCTCCCTCGGCAGTTGCACTGTAAGCCCCTTTAAAAAACTCTAGTTAAGAATGCGGGCTTGTACGGAGTTTTGGATTTAGGGTTTAGGGTTGGTTTAGGGCTTAGGGGTTAGGGTGTAGGACTTAGGAGTTAGGGATGAGGGTTGTTGAGGGTCGCGGGCTTGTAGCAAAAATGAGCCGGGTGAAAAGTTCAAAGGCCAGCCCCCCTCAAACCCAAAACCGTACACCAAGAACCCCAAACCCCAAACCCCAAACCCCAAACCCCAAACCCCAAACCCCAAACCCCAAACCCCAAACCCCAAACCCCAAACCCCAAACCCCAAACCCCAAACCCCAAACCCTAAACCCTAAACCCTAAACCCTAACCCTAAACCCTAAACCCTAAACCCTAAACCCTAAACCCTAAACCCTAATTAAGTCCCAGCTGTGAAGCCAACCGTCCATGGCTTGCTTTCCTGGCAGAGGTGGCCTTAGGGCCCAAAGTCCTAAGCCCCTACACGCCCTTTCCGCCCTAGAAGCCCTAAACCCTAAACCCTAAACCCCTATGAGCCCTAAACCCTATACCCAAGCCAATCGTTTTGCACTCACACACACACACACAATTTACCCTAAAGCCTAAACCCAGGACCTCGCCTTCCGCAGTGCCGCCGCGGCCGAGTTGGGTTACGATCCCTCGGACTCACCGAACTCGCTGATGCGAACCTATGTAGAACGTGAATGGTGCCCCTGGCAGACCACAGGCTCCTCACACTCTTCGATCACTACCTCACCCATGGGTGGGCACAAGCGCTTCCGAGCAGGGCGATGTTCGAATGGAGTCGTGGCTGGCTCGTGGCTTGGTAATGGTCCAGCAAATGGCGGTCGACCAGGGCCGCACCCAAATGGGTTGGCTGCTAACAGGCTTGCCAGATCCATCGTACCACCTGCAGCAACGAAGGCGCGCCGGTATCAAGCCGTACTCCAGGTTGTCTCCGGCCAACTGGCTGGCAGCGAACGTGGCAGTTTTGAGGGACATGGACTTTTGGATGCCCGACTGAAGAGTGCAATCTCTACAACCGGCCAGCCGACACCAACCCCTAAACCCCTAAACCCCTAAACCCCTAAACCCCTAAACCCCAAAACCCCTAAACCCCTAAACCCTTAAACCCCTAAACCCCTAAAACCCTAAACCCTAAACCCTAAACCCCTAAACCCCTAAAACCCTAAACCCTAAACCCTAAACCCCTAAACCCTAAACCCTAAACCCTAAACCCTAAACCCTAAACCCTAAACCCTAAACCCCAACTTCAACCCTCAAGGTTTCAGAGCCCCGCCCAGGCAGTCAGCGAGGCTGACCTCCTCATGGCCTCCCGGCCAGACGTTGGGTTCCGGATCATGGACTGCTTCGGGTTTAGGGTTTAGGGTTTAGGGTTTAGGGTTTAGGGTTTAGGGTTTAGGGTTTAGGGTTTAGGGTTCAGGGTTCAGGGTTCAGGGTTCAGGGTTCAGGGTTCAGGCTTCAAGCTTCAGGCTTCAGGCTTCAGGCTTCAGGCTTCAGCGTTCAGGAAATGGGGGAGTTTAGGGTTTCAGCGTCCAGGGTTTAGAACTTAGGGTTGCTGCTTCAGGGTTCAGGATATGTCGGGTTTAGAGTTTAGGGTAGTTCAGTTTTAGGGTTTAGGGTTTAGGGTTTAGGGTTTAGGGTTTAGGCTTTAGGGTTTAGGGTTTAGGGTTTAGGGTTTAGGGTTTAGGGTTTAGGGTTTAGGGTTTAGGGCCTGGGGTTCAGGAGAACCTTTAACCCCTCAAAGCCTCAAAGCCTTGAAATTCCCGAAGCCCTGGAGCCCTTAAGTCCTTAAGCTCCTCAACCCAGAAACCTCCGAATTGCTTGCTTGGCCCTAGCCCTAAACCCTAAACCCTAAACTCTAAACCCTAAACCCTAAACCCTAAACCCTAAACCCTAAGCCCTAAGCCCTAAGCCCTAAACCCTAAACCCTAAACCCTAAATCCTAAACCCTAACCCCCTAAACCCTAATTCCTAAACCCTGAACCCTCCACAAGGAAGCCCTAAACCCCAACATGCAGTCAAGCCCCGGCGGCCGTTTCGGTGGGGTCTTCTGTGCGACATTCTTGGCGACTCTGAGGCCGCGAACGCGCTGGGGCGTGAGGACCTCAGCCAAACAACCACAGCAACGGAGAAGGGTTCGGGGGGGTTTAGAGTTTAGGGTTTAGGGTTAGGGTTCAGGGATTAGGGAGGAAAGGGGGTTTTGGGGTTTAAGGTTTCGGGTTCAGGGTTCGGGGTGTCCGAAACCCCGCAAGCCTTCACTCCTCAATGCCGAGCCTTCCTCGAAACATCGGAGGAGTTGCCGAAACAACATCGGGCATGTCCGGCTACTTCAGGTATGCCCTAATCCGGAAGACCCGAAGCTAAGACATGCCCTAAAACTCTAATTAACGAATATGCCCCAAGCCAGAATCCCTAAACCCGAGATCCTAATATGCTCGAAACCCCGACCACTAAAACCCTAAACCCTAAACTATGAACCCTAAACCCTAAACCGCACCATGCTCCAAAACTCCCCCAAAATGCGAGCTCTGACCCAGGCATCGCCGAGCGCGACGCGCGCGTGGAGTCCGCGCTGCGTAGTCGCCTCTCCGATTCGAACGCGGCGAGGCCCGACCTCTTGAACTCCTGAAGGGTGCGCAGTTTTGTTTCCGTAAACCCTAAACCCCAAACCCTAAACCCTATAAACCCTGTAAACCCTAGAAACCCTATAAACCCCACAAACCCCATAAACCTGATAAACCCTATAAACCCAATAAAACCCTGTAAACCCTATAAACCCTATAAACCCCCCAAACCCCCTAAAACCCCCTAAACCCGAACCCCCAACCCCCAAACCCCAAACACCCAGACCAGGCACCTGTCTGCTGCTGCACAGGCCACTTTTGGCTTGCAGGACAGCTGTTTGTGTTTAGCGGGGCTCAAGGGCGGGGGGGGGGGGGTCATGTAACTCAAGGTTCCCGAATACTCCCCACTACTCCCCCTAAGGATCCATGTACCTCTATAGTATATACTTGGGCCCTAGAGCTACGATATAGGAACCCCTTTAAGGCCCAAGTATATACTATGTAGGTACATGGATCCTTTGGGTCCCTAAGGTTCCCTAAGGTGTTTTAAGGTTCCCTAAGATCCCCTAAGATTCCTTAAGGTTCCCTAAGGTTCCCTGAGATTCAATAAGGTTCCCTAGGGTTCCTTAAGGTTCCCCAAGGTTCCCTAGATACCTACCCCCATGAGCCACCCTCCCATAAAAACCCTGTAAAGCTTTGGTGTTTAGGGTTTAACGTCCTGGGTGTAATAGGATGATCAAGGTGTAGGGGTGTTGGGGGGTTTGGGTTTAAGGGTTCAAGGGTTTCAAGGTTTAAAGTTAAAGGGCTTAGGTCCTAGGGTTAGGGTTTAGGCTCCTGGGTTTGGGCTTAAGCGTTCAGGCTTAAGGGCTGGGCACACTGACATGGAGATCAGATCTCAAAAGATGGCTTCAGGCGCAAACTAGGGTTTAGGGTTTAGGGTCTAGGGTCTAGGGTTTAGGGTTTGGTTTAAAGGTGCAATGGCAGCTGTGTCCGACTTTGGCATTCATGATGGTTGTGGCTAAGAGCTCTGAAGGAAGAGAGCTACCCCAATTTTGGCTGTTTGGGCTTAGGGTTACAAACCCTTAAGCCCCGAACCCTAAACCCTAAACCCATGAGAGCGAAGAAGGAATTTCAGCCATATAGAATCTAGCTCGGCTCGGTTTAGGATTTAGGGTGTAGTGCGCAAGGGGAAGCATCCTCACCAGGATGTGCCCCCTTTTTGAAGCAACAGTCCGTAATCGGGACCGTTTACGCGAAGGGGGCTAGTAGAAACACAACTGCCTTGTGATTAAAGTTTTCTGATTGGTTTTAGAGCATTGCATTGTAGGCCGCAGCTTACCTGGTCGGCGTTACACCGTGTCTGAGGTTAAGGTTTGGGGTTTTAGGGGTTTGCGGGGGTTGCCGTGCCCATGTCAAGGCCCGATGACCTATTGGAGAGCATAATCAGCGACAAGCCACATAGTCAGACTTCTCCAGCCTCGCACGCTCGGTGCGGCTAGCGAAGGCCGTCCGGTCTTTCTTTTGGGGGTGGGGCTTGGGGCCGGGGGTGGTTGTGGGCTGGAATGGTCGGCACCGACTGGCCGCTGCTTCCAAGACCCTTCGTCTAAGTAGGCCCGATGGGCCCTTGGCGCCAGAACTCTGTACTTGGAGGATCGGGCACTTCAAACTTAGTAAGTAGGCATATGAGTACCTTAGTTAACATTTTAAAAAACGTATTTGTGTAGTTGCCTTACTTAAAACGCCTCATGCGTGGAAATCCTAAACCCTTCTTACGCCTACTTGCAGGGTTTAATGTTGCCCTACGATTCCCAAATCCCTCTCTTTACAGCAAGGACGAAGCTGCTGCGGTTTCCGCCGCGTTTGCTCGCTCGACTTCTCCGACTGACGGAGGATAAAAGTGCATGCAAACACCTACTGTCCAAGGTCAGTGCAGTTCGTCACTACGTGTCTTTCGAACCTGTTCAGCAGTAATCCTGCAGAAATCAGATGAGTGCAATTCTTAGGAAATGTACGGTAGCGCCGTATACCCTAAATCCTACGTCAGCTACCGTAGTGCCTTACATCCTATGCCCTCAACCAACTCACCAAAATTGCGCCGTGGGTGGGCATGATATTTTGTTCAACACATGCGACCTCAAAACATGTGAGCTATCCATGTGATTTGATTCATCTTGTAGCGGAGCAGTTTGTAATCTTATACCACACGTGATGCACGATGTGAAGCGCTATAGAGGGGAGAGGAGGAGGAGGCAACTGGGAATGTAGCATGACTACTGATACACTGCAGGCAGCGGCTGCATGCAGCACTTGTGGCTTGTATGCCTGGAATGGAAACTCTAGGCCAAGGCAACAAAAATCCATAGTTGACTCGTCGAACCCCTAAAGCCTACAGCCTAAACCCGAAAACCTAAACCCTAAACCCTAAACCTTAAACCCTAAACCCTAAACCCTAAACCCTAAACCCTAAACCCTAAACCCTAAACCCTAAACCCTAAACCCTAAACCCTAAACCTCTAAACCATGACCTGTTGCTGCTGTTCTAGAAGTACTGGCTGTGATTGGATCTCGATGGTCATGAAGGTTCCTACACCTGAAGCCACCACTCCTGGGGAGGAACATCTCGGGGTTTGGGTTTAGGGTTTAGGGTTTAGCGTTTAGGGTTTAGGGTCTAGGGTTTAGGGTTTAGGGTTTCGGGTTGCGGGTTTAGGGTTTAGGGTTTAGGGTTTCGGGTTTAGGGTTTAGGGTTTAGTTAGATTCCGGACTTTGCCTGCATGTTATGGGAGAAGCTGAGATCTGGGTGATCCCAGGCACCGCAGCAGTCGTTCTGCCCTTTCTGGCCAAAAGGATTTGCATAGAGGCGCGCCCAGGTGGCCAAGATTCAAAGACAAACTAGTCCCAGGCAGCAAAAAATCCCAATGATTCGACAGCACAGTCTCGAAGTCGCGACTAGTCGACCCCCCACAAGCCTATGAAGCATGAAGTTACGCAGCTTGACTCCGGCCTTAGCTTAGAGCGGCCTTCCTGACAGCAGCGCGCGAAGGGCCCCAGAAACATCGCCGATCTTATCCCTGTCCCAAAAAGCAAAGGCTCATCAACATAGTATATGCCTTCATATATACATATATACACACACATATATGCCCATATATGTACATATGTATGTATTAGTTTATCTATTTTCTCGTAACCTTGTATCCATGTACAGATGCTGCGCGCTGCTTGATGGAGCCTGCTTCCATCCCTTGCGCACATGATGTGGCCGCATGCTCTGCACGTCTGATCAGGGACTGAGATTCGGGGCTATCTAAGTCCAAGCCCTAAACCCTAAACCCCTAAACCCTAAACCCTAAACCCTAAACCCTAAACCCTATGAGGGGGCTTTGGGGATCCGGATGAAGTCAAGCTCAGCTGGGCTTAGGGTTTGGGGTTTAGGGTTTAGGGTTCGGGGCTTTCGGGTTTGGTATTTCGGTGTTAAGGGGCAGTTGGGCCTGGGCAAGGTTTTTGCAGGCAAGGGTGTCTTAAACCCGATACACCGCCACCCCCCCCCCCCCCCCCCCCCTGGCTCCCCGACCCTCTTCACACCAACCCTAAACCCTGCACCCTAAACCTTAAACCCTAAACCCCAAAACCCCTAAACCCCTAAACCCTAAACCCCAAAACCCCAAAACCCCTAAACCCCTAAACCCCTAAACCCCTAAACCCCTAGACCCCTAGAACCCTAAACCCCTAAACCCCTAAACCCCTAGACCCCTAAACTCCTAAACCCCTAAACCCCTAAACCCCTAAACCCCTAAACAACCGCGCCTGCCGAACCCAGGTGCGGGTTCCGCTCCCCGGACGCGCAGTGTCCGTCGTAGCTCGGCGGGGCTTTTCGGGCCTTCGATTTTTGTTTTTTTGTTTTTTTTGGGGGGGGGGGGGGGGGGGAGGGTTTAGGGTTTAGGGTTTCGGGTTTAGGGTTTAGGGTTTTAGGGTTAGGGTTTGGGGTTGTCGGAGCTGGCGGCTGCTAGACTGCAGCTTTCGTGTTGAAAAAGCACAAGGTCTTGGGGTTGGAGGTTTGAGGGTTTAGGGTTTAGGGTTTACGCGCTTGGGGCTCTGCAAGCTTCGGGTTTCCTCCGACCCGCCAACCCTAAACACCCCTGCACCGTAGTTCCTCAAAACAGCTTGCGCGATTAGGGTAGTTTGCGGTGGGGAGGGGCATCGGAACCCATGTGAACCCTAAGCCCCAAACCCCAAACCCCAAACCAAACCCTAAACACTCGACCCTAAACCCTAAGCCCTACGCCCAAAACCCTAAACCCTAAACTCTATACCTTAAAACCCTAAGCCCTAAACCCTAAACCCAGGTCTTGCGGCTGTCCCGAAGGCCTGGGAGCCCAGACTGATTGGATGACTTTCGGGGTTCTAGGATATTTTGGGGGTTTAGGGTTTAGGGTTTAGGGTTTTCAGTTTAGAGTTTAGGGTTTAGGGTTTAGGGTTCAGGGACTTCGTGTTGCTGTGCCCACGAGACTTCTGGTGGGAAGGTTTCACGGCGCGACTGGCTTACTGGTTCCTGAGCCCACAAACCCGAAACCCTACTTCAAGGATCAGGGGACTTAGCAAGTGGGATTATGAATAAGGCAACTACACTTATAGTTCCTTATAACCCCCATTGAGGTACTCATATCCCTACTTACTAAGTGCCCCCAACCTCCAAGTTAACCCTAAACCCTGAGCCCCACCCCAAACCCTAAACCCTAAACCCTAAACCCGAAACCCGAAACCCTAAACCCTAAACCCTAAACCCTAAACCCTAAACCCTAAACCCTAAACCGGTGATCCGAGAACCTGAGTCGAGGTGTCGCCGCGCAGGAAAGGCGAGCACCTCAGTCAAGCTCGGTAAAGGAGCGGCTCAGGATTGGCGTCGTTTAGGGTTTCGGGTTTAGGGTTTAGGGTTGAGGGTTTAGGGTTTAGGGTTTAGGGTTTAGCGTTTGGGGTTTAGGTTTTAAGGTTTAGGGTTTAGGGGGTTAGGGGCTTAGGGTTTCTGAGGGGGGGGAGGGTGGGGGAGCGGGAGCAGGCTTCAGGGCACTTGTAGGTTCACGAGTAGTTGCAACCGCACAAGGTAACGTCATGTGTACCAAACTTCGGGCCTTAACTAAGGCTGTCCTAGCCACCCATGACCCCCCAAAGTAGGCCCCATCTACGGAGGCGAACTTGGGGCAAGTACGAAGCTTCTACACTGGTTGGTAGTTTAGGGTTTGTTTTGCGAGTTGGATGTACTGCAAGAACTCTGTTGCAAGGTGCTGGTACGGGACTTGGGGTCGGGTTTCATAAGTTCGTTTAAGGGTTCACTTATGCAACCCCAAGCCCGAGTTTTGAAGCTGCAGCTGTTTTGTGGAGATGTGATATTGCTCATCATGGCCCTGTGACTTGAGCTCTATACCAGAAACCCCTCTACGTGTACCATTCTCCGAAGCTTGACGACATAAACCCTGACATGTTTTCTACTGCCCGCGCTGAGGCAAAACTCGTCGAAAACTCGTTGGTTTCTGGGGTCATTCCAAAGTTTCAGGGTCGAGGTTCGGCGTTCAAAAGATGCCTGTTTAGGGTTTAGGGTTTAGGGTTTCGGGTTTCGGGTCCTTTTGGGCAGCACTGCTTCAAGTCCAAAGGCACTTTCTTCCCCCCTGGTTTCTCAGTAGGGAATTAGGGGTTTAGATATGCTCTTTCAGGCATTGTGTAGGGTACCTCATTCCCTCCTTCCCTACTAAGAACCAGGCAGGTCTTGAATCCGAAGGACTCCATGGTCCCTGGAACTTCAAAACGACAAGCCCAACTAACCCCCTCTATACACCCTTCTCCGGATTGCAACCCTAAACCCTAAACCCTAAACCCTAAACCCTAAACCCTAAACCCTAAACCCTAAACCCTAAGCTTCCAAAGTTGCCTTTCTTTGCCCAAACCCGAAGGGGGCACAGCTGTTTGCTTACTCCCAGGCGATGCAGGCTGCAGTTCAAGGTCAAAGAGGCGGGCGCCGAGGGGTGGTGGGGGGCGTTAGGGTTTAGGGTTTTAGTTTTAAGGTTTAGGGTTTAAGGTTGAGGGTTTAAGGTTTAGGGTTTAGGGTTTCGGGCTTACTTTTGACGTAGCAAGTCTACTTCGTATGCCGCCCTAGAGACCCTATTGCAATCCCCATCACCCAGCTTACTAACCTACGAAGTCAAGAGGGCTTCCAAGTAGGCTAACGGCCTATGGGTTTGAGATCTCGGCATATCTCCCTAAACCCTAAACCCTAAACCCTAACCCCTAAACCCTAAACCCTAAAGCCTAAACCCATCTATAGACTAGTGTGATGACTTAAGACCCACAGGTATCTTGCGGGCCCCGGTTCAAAAAAAGCCAAAAGCCACACCAACCCCTCAAAACCCCAAGCCTAAGCTAGAATCCCTAAACCTCAGAGTCCTAAACCTAGGCTGCCATGAAGAAGGCACACGCTACAGCCACACAGCCCGAACAAACCCTAAACCCTAAACCCTAAACCCTAAACCCTAAACCCTAAACCCTAAACCCCCATAACCCCCATAACCCCCATAACCCCCATAACCCCCATAACCCCCATAACCCCCATAACCCCCATTAAGCCCCATTAAGCCCCATTAAGCCCCATAAGCCCCATAAGCCCCATAAGCCCCATAAGCCCCACAAGCCCCATAAGCCCCATTAAGCCCCATAAGCCCCATAAGCCCCATAAGCCCCATAAGCCCCTAAACACATCCCAGCCAGGCCTTAGTGCAGCGGCAGCGGCTGGACCCCGCGCCCTTTCTTCAATGGCCCACGCCCCGGAGTGAGAAAGGCACAGGGTGAAAGGGTTTAGGCTAGTAGGGTTTAGGGTTTGGGGGTTTAGGGTGTAGAGTCTTCGA